CCCCATTAAAAGATAACGCGTGATTATGTCCCATATCTTTCCCCATCCAAAAATAACGCACGATTATGTCCCATGTCATTCCCCATTAAAAAATAACGCGTGATTATGTCACATATTTTTCCCCATCCAAAAATAACGCATGATTATGTCCCATATCTTTCCCCATCCAAAAATTAACGCATGATTATGTCCCATATCTTTCCCCATCCAAAAAATAACGCATGATTATGTCCCATATCTTTCCCCATCCAAAAATAACGCGTGATTATGTCCCATATCTTTCCCCATCCAAAAATAACGCATGATTATGTCCCATATCTTTACTTCCTCCCCTCCTATTTATCTTTATCGATTGATTGGTTTCATTCGCTGACCGTCTGCTGGTTATAAATATCTCGCTGCTTTGTTTATTTTCTCTCTTTTTGTAAACCACACGAGTAGTTATACTGATGTATCGATTATGTTATTCGAATATATCTGTAAACTACTCGATTATGTTAAACTAATATGTGTAAACTACTCGATTAAGTTAATATCTATATATTACTCCATTATGTTGTGTTATAAATGCCGCCAACAAAAAATTCAAGAGCAATAATTTGATTGGCCTAACGTGTAGACAGTGCCAGCACCTTGGCCTGGGTTTATAACAGTCTCAGACTAGCTTACCTCCCTTACCTCCACTCCTTACATGGACCAAAATACCGTGGACCAATTTTTTTGTTGAAATCTATTTGTATAAACCGATCGAACGTGTAGCAATTAAAGACAAAGTAATTGATCCAGTTAGCTGATGCAGTTATTGATTGTTTATCCCATACACCCCCCGGGCACTGGGCTGATCATTCCCCTAATGTGGTGATTTTAGAAACGGCAGTTTTTTTTATCCATCTTGTGTTGACGTTAAGCTTAGTGCTACTGTTGACAACAGTTGGGGTAGGGGACTTACAAGTACCAGACGAGCAGTGTACGGCGTGTAATGGCTGCCTGGTGCCTTATAACGGGAAAGTACCACAGGGTGGTTTTAGTTTTATTTGTTTAATTTCTTTCGTCTGTTTAGATTCTCTTGTGTTGGATATCATGATTTGATTAGTAAGTTTGGTACACAAAATGGTAAGTATAACATAGGCTGGGTTAAGTTTGGCCCACAAAGATTGTGGTTAGTAGTAAAGTTTAACAGTATGTGGTACACAAAAAACGAGCCTTTTTGTAATATCTAGACTGGCACAAAAAAGTTAAACATGTGCTAAGATTGGTACAGCCGATGCCTAGTTTCGTACAAAAACCAGCCTGTGCCTAGTTTCGTACAAAAACCAGCCTGTGCCTAGTTTCGTACAAAAATCAGTCCGTGCCTAGTTTCGTACAAAAATCAGTCCGTGCCTAGTTTCGTACAAAAATCAGTCCGTGCCTAGTTTCGTACAAAAATCAGTCCGTGCCTAGTTTGGTACAAAAATCAGTCCGTGCCTAGTTTGGTACAAAAATCAGTCCGTGCCTAGTTTGGTACAAAAATCAGTCCGTGCCTAGTTTCGTACAAAAATCAGTCCGTGCCTAGTTTGGTACAAAAACCAGCCTGTGCCTAGTTTCGTACAAAAACCAGCCTGTGCCTAGTTTCGTACAAAAATCAGCCCATGACTGCGATAAGCTCACCACTATACGAGGGACAAGCTTTGTTATTGGGAAAGCAATTCAGACCAACTGTCTCTACGCCATAAGTTGTTTATCAGGATTAAAGGCGATTATAGGGATATCATGTGAATAATAAAACACGGTACTTATCGATTAGCCATACCCTCGTATTTGTGTTGATGGTATCGCCGGTAACGATTCATAAAATCTCGATTATGCTTTTGCTAGGTTTGGTGTTAGGGTTGGGTTTGAAGTATCGTTATCGGCGATACTTGGTCGATCTATAAAAGTAAGTGGTTTTGGCTAATCGATAAGTACCACTAACCGAGAATGATTGCTAGTTAGATCCTTGAGTATACAAACGCTGTGGCTCTGAACTAAACATTTTCCTACCGCGTAGAGCAGAGTGTAGGATGTATGTGCTAAACGTGGGCCATCTGTAGGCATTTGATTTCTGATGTGTAGCACGTTTAAGGCTGGGCTTTTAACTAAACAACGTATCCACTTTTTTTTAACTGACCATTGGTTAAGCTAATACCGAAATCAAGTTAAAAAAAAATAGTTCAATGAATTAACACCCCCACCATAAAAGATATATTATTGATAAGTAATTGAATATCATTTAATTTAATGTGTCACTGGTCAATATTTATCCTCCCCCCTCCTTCCAAGACTATCCTCCCCCCCCCCCTCCTTCCAAGACTATCCTCCCCCCTCCTTCCAAGACTATCCTCCTCCCTCCTTCCAAGACTATCCTCCCCCCCTCCTTCCAAGACTATCCTCCCCCCTCCTTCCAAGACTATCCTCCCCCCTCCTTCCAAGACTATCCTCCCCCCTCCTTCCAAGACTATCCTCCCCCCCTCCTTCCCCTCCTCCAAGACTAGCCTCACCCTCTTCCCCTCCTCCAAGACTAGCCTCACCCTCCTTCCCTCCTCAAAGACTAGCCTCACCCTCTTCCCCTCCTCCAAGACTAGCCTCACCCTCCTTCCCTCCTCAAAGACTAGCCTCACCCTCCTTCCCCTCCTCCAAGACTAGCCTCACCCTCCTTCCCCTACTCCAATACTAGCCTCACCCTCTTCCCCTCCTCCAAGACTAGCCTCACCCTCCTTCCCCTCCTCCAAGACTAACCCCATCCCCCGGGGCAACACGACGTGCACCCCGGTACAAACCCAACGTGTATGACACCACCCAGCGGTTGTGGGATGTACTATCGGACCATCTGCTGTATAATCCTCTAATTGTTTGCCCGCTCAGGTCGCGGCTTTTGTTAGCTAATCCCCTGTCAACTCGGCCAGAAAAAAATAAGTAGAATAAATTTGTTTTATCGATGTGTTCTCTTTGTGGAACATCTCACTGTATGTATGGATGGTAAATGACTTGTGTGGGTATTGATGTTCACATACGTACACCTCACGCATGCGCACGTATATAGTACTACAAACTGGTGTACACATATGTTGTACATCATGCTCATGTATATCGTACAATGTTGGTCGTGTAACTTTCAGTGCCCTGATATGTCGGTCGATGTCCACATAACGATCGATGCCTTTCGTGTGACATTTAATGCCCTTCATATAACGATCTTTGCTCTGAAACTTATACCGCTGGGTGTCACCCTCATGGGTGTCACCCTCATAACGGTTGATGCTGTACACATGTAGTGACATGTCACCCTCATAACATTATTCCTTTAGTATAACGTTCGTTGCCCCTTTATAACGTTAATTTCCCCTCGTATAACGTTCATTGCACCTCGTATAACGTTCATTTCCCCTCGTATGCCCCTTCTATAACATCCTATCTCCCTCAAACAATTACCAACCTGCCTAACCGATGTACACTGATACAATTATACGGCCATCAAATCAAATTTTTAGCCCGTGATACAATCTTCTTGTTAAATTTTAAATGATGTAAGGGTTTTCTTTTCTCCAATTCATGTGCAGTTCAAGAATTGATAGCTATTCAGTAAAATTTCAAGCAATTTCTTTTGCATTAAAATAATGTGTTAATGAATTCCCATGTGACTGTTAAAATTAATTAGTATGTTATAATTATGTTAATTAGTCCGTTCCTCGTTTGTTCCCCTGGGTGGGAGGGGTATATCAAGTTTTTTCCCAGCTAGTCTGTCTTTAAATACAGTCACACAACAATATTTTACTGTAGTCATATAACTGTCTTTTAATGTTGTCAAACAAGTCTCTTTAAATGCTGTCGTTGAATGATGTAAGTTGTAAACCTATTATCTTTGAATGAAGAAAATTTATATTCTTTTCTCGATTGACATTTATTATATCTCAGCACGTTTTGGTATGCATTAGCTTGAAGACCCTGACGTTTTAAATTCTGTAATTCTGTATGTGTATTCAGCCCGACATTTGAAATTCTGTATGTGTATTCAGCCCGACATTTGAAATTCTGTATGTGTATTCAGCCCGACATTTGAAATTCTGTATGTGTATTCAGCCCGACATTTGAAATTATGTATGTGTATTCAGCCCGACATTAGAAATTCTGTATGTGTATTCAGCCCGACATTTGAAATTCTGTATGTGTATTCAGCCCGACATTTGAAATTCTGTATGTGTATTCAGCCCAACATTTGAAATTCTGTATGTGTATTCAGCCCGACATTTGAAATTCTGTATGTGTTTAGACAACAGCCCGACGTATCAAATGTGCCTATAGTCCAACATATGAAATTCTGTATGTGTTTAGACAACAGCGTGCCAGCATAAAGCAACATTGTCGGCCCAGCTGTTGTACGATTAATGTATACACATTTCATACTTACTGTGCGATTATCTACTCCATTGGTTAACTTGTATTGTTAAGTGATGGGGTTGGTGCGGTTACACACAATATAACAGGCTATTGTGTTACAGATATACGAAACTGTAGCCTTTTTTTGTTCAGATATCGTACGATATAGTAGGTTATTGTGTTATAGATTCATACATTAGATTACTGTGTTACAGATATCATTCATAGGGTTACTGTGTTACAGATATACTTTAGGTTACTGTGTTACAAGTATACATAGGGTTACTGTGTTACAGATATACATTAGGTTACTGTGTTACTGTTACAGATATCATTCATAGGGTTACTGTGTTATAGATATAAATTAGGTTATTGTGTTATACATATACATTAGGCTACTGTTACAAGTATACATTGGGTTACTGTGTTACAGATATCATTCATAGGGTTACTGTGTTACAGATATACATTAGGTTATTGTGTTATAGATATCATATATTGGGTTACTGTGTTACAAATATCGTACTGTGTTATATATATCATACATTAGATTACTGTGTTATAGATCCCCTATACATCAGTTATAACCTTGTGTTGTTGTCGTGCAGGAAAGAACGGCGAAGATTTTATCCATGACACGTCCATCCAACAGAGGGAGCTGTTCTCATCAGAAGCCACGGATACCCTACCCATCACATCGTTAAGGTTGGTACAACGTTTTATCTATAGAGCTTTGTTGTTTTATCTATAGAACTTTGTGGTTTTATCTCTAGAACTTTGTGGTTTTATCTCTAGAACTGTTGTTTTATCTCTAGAACTTTGTTGTTTTATCTCTAGAACTGTTGTTTTATCTCTAGAACTTTGTTGTTTTATCTCTAGAACTGTTTTATCTCTAGAACTGTTGTTTTATCTCTAGAACTTTGTAGTTTTATCTCTAGAACTGTTGTTTTATCTCTAGAACTTTGTGGTTTTATATCTAGAACTTTGTTGTTTTATCTAGAATTTTGTATTATATCTAGAACTGTTGTTTGATATCTAGAACTTTGTTATTCTTACCGCTAGAACTGTATAGGTTATAATCTCTAGTAGTATGTAAAATTGTCTCCTCTAGTTTTTATGGCCATAAATGTCGATCGATAGAACTTTAATTTTGTGTAGAACATGTGAGTAGAACATCCCCATTTTACTCAGATTATGATAGGATAACATGGTATATGTCAACTTACTACCCACCCACCTCCCAACTGTGCTTTTATTAACTTAGTAGGCCCTATATGTCAACCTCTTATCCACCCCCACCCACCTCTATATAGAACATTATTTGACTTAGCCCCCCCCCCCCTCAGTGTACTCAGACGGTATATGTCAACCTCCCACCCACCCACCTCCCCATAATGCGCCCTCTGATCTAACTGGCAAGGTTGTTTGAGTAACGTTAATTCTGTTGGGGTTAGAAGGAAAACAAAACAATCACCGGGCAATGCGAGAGGTTTGTAAGCTTTCTCCAGGTGCTATCTGCACGTTTAGACACCGTGTAGCAGACCTTTTTTTTTCTACCTGGCCGACAGTTGCCAAGGTTCACTCCAGCACAGAACGTGTCAGATGTATTGCCCGATTAAACACCTGTCTTGGTGGGGGGGGGGGGGGGGGGTGATGGTTACCTGCCCAGGTGACTGGTGTAGTGATGGTTACCTGCCCAGGTGACTGGTGTAGTGATGGTTACCTGCCCAGGTGACTGGTGTAGTGATGGTTACCTGCCCAGGTGACTGGTGTAGGGATGGTTACCTGCCTGTGTGACTGGTGTAGTGATGGTTACCTGCCCAGGTGATTGAGGTAGTGATGGTTACCTGTTCAGGTGACTGGTATAGTGATGGTTACCTGCCTATGTGACTGGTGTAGTGATGGTTACCTGCCCAGGTGACTGGTGTAGTGATGGTTACCTGCCTATGTGACTGGTGTAGTGATGGTTACCTGCCCAGGTGACTGGTGTAGTGATGGTTACCTGCTCAGGTGACTGGTGTAGTGATGGTTACCTGCTCAGGTAACTGGTGTAGGGATAGTTACCTTCCAGGTGACTGGTGTAGTGATGGTTACCTGCCCAGGTGACTGGTGTAGTGATGGTTACCTGCTCAGGTAACTGGTGTAGTGATGGTTACCTGCCCAGGTGACTGGTGTAGTGATGGTTACCTGCCCAGGTGACTGGGGTAGTGATGGTTACCTGCCCATGTGACTGGGGTAGTGATGGTTACCTGCCCAGGTGACTGGGGTAGTGATGGTTACCTGCCCAGGTGACTGGTATTGTGATAGGTTACCTGTCTTGATGACATGTAAAGTGATAGGTTACCTGTCTTGTGTAATGATTGTGTTAGCGATCGAATTCTCTCCGGCCTAAATCTGATACTGTTGTCTTTGCTAACCCCACCGCTTACAACATGAGAATCACGTCTTGAAGAGTTTCGATAACTGTTTACACTCGCCGCCTCGACATTTGTCTAGCTTCACTTGTCAAGTAATTGTATGTTCATAGTTTGATCCTTGCTATACAAGTCTGTGTCACAATAAGTTGATCCCTGCTCCCAAAGTCTATGTCACAATAGAAGTTTGATCCTTGCTCCCAAAGTCTGTGTCACAATAAGTTTGATCCCTGCTCCCAAAGTTTGTGTCACAATAAAAGTTTGATCCCTGCTCCCAAAGTCTGTGTTACCATAAGTTTGATCCCTGCTCCCAAAGTCTGTGTCACAATAAGTTTGATCCCTGCTCCCAAAGTCTGTGTCACAATAAAAGTTTGATCCCTGCTCCCAAAGTCTGTGTCACAATAAGTTTGATCCCTGCTCCCAAAGTCTCTGTCACAATAAAAGTTTGATCCCTGCTCCCAAAGTCTTTGTCACAATAAAAGTTTGATCCCTGCTCCCAAAGTCTGTGTCACAATAAAAGTTAGATCCCTGCTCCCAAAGTCTGTCACAATAAAAGTTTGATCCCTGCTCCCAAAGTCTGTGTCACAATAAGTTTGATCCCTGCTCCCAAAGTCTGTGTCACAATAAGTTTGATCCCTGCTCCCAAAGTCTCTGTCACAATAAAAGTTTGATCCCTGCTCCCAAATTCTGTGTCAAAATAAGTTTGATCCCTGCTCCCAAAGTCTGTGTCACAATAAGTTTGATCCCTGCTCCCAAAGTCTAAATCACAATAAGTTTGATCCCTGCTCCCAAAGTCTGTGTCACAATAAAAGTTTGATCCCTGCTCCCAAAGTCTGTGTTACCATAAGTTTGATCCCTGCTCCCAAAGTCTGTGTCACAATAAGTTTGATCCCTGCTCCTAAAGTCTGTGTCACAATAAGTTTGATCCCTGCTCCCTAAGTCTGTGTCACAATAAGTTTGATCCCTGCTCCCAAAGTCTGTGTCACAATAAAAGTTTGATCCCTGCTCCCAAAGTCTGTGTCACAATAAGTTTGATCCCTGCTCCCAAAGTCTGTCACAATAAGTTTGATCCCTGCTCCCAAAGTCTGTGTCACAAGTTTGATCCCTGCTCCCAAAGTCTGTGTCACAATAAAAGTTTGATGCCTGCTCCCAAAGTCTGTGTCACAATAAAAGTTTGATCCCTGCTTCCAAAGTCTGTGTCACAATAAAAGTTTGATCCCTGCTCCCAAAGTCTGTGTCACAATAAGTTTGATCCCTGCTCCCAAAGTCTGTGTCGCAATAAAAGTTTGATCCCTGCTCCCAAAGTCTATGTCACAATAAGTTTGATCCCTGCTCCCAAAGTCTGTCACAATAAAAGTTTGATCCCTGCTCCCAAAGTCTGTGTCACAATAAGTTTGATCCCTGCTCCCAAAGTCTCTGTCACAATAAAAGTTTGATCCCTTCTCCCAAAGTCTTTGTCACAATAAAAGTTTGATCCCTGCTCCCAAAGTCTGTGTCACAATAAGTTTGATCCCTGCTCCCAAAGTCTGTGTCACAATAAAAGTTTGATCCCTGCTCCCAAAGTCTGTGTTACCATAAGTTTGATCCCTGCTCCCTAAGTCTGTGTCACAATAAGTTTGATCCCTGCTCCCAAAGTCTGTGTCACAATAAAAGTTTGATCCCTGCTCCCAAAGTCTGTGTCACAATAAAAGTTTGATCCCTGCTCCCAAAGTCTGTCACAATAAGTTTGATCCCTGCTCCCAAAGTCTGTGTCACAAGTTTGATCCCTGCTCCCAAAGTCTGTTTCACAATAAAAGTTTGATGCCTGCTCCCAAAGTCTGTGTCACAATAAAAGTTTGATGCCTGCTCCTAAAGTCTGTGTTACCATAAGTTTGATCCCTGCTCCCAAAGTCTGTGTCACAATAAGTTTGATCCCTGCTCCCAAAGTTTGTGTCACAATAAAAGTTTGATCCCTGCTCCCAAAGTCTGTGTTACCATAAGTTTGATCCCTGCTCCCAAAGTCTGTGTCACAATAAGTTTGATCCCTGCTCCCAAAGTCTGTGTCACAATAAAAGTTTGATCCCTGCTCCCAAAGTCTGTGTCACAATAAGTTTGATCCCTGCTCCCAAAGTCTCTGTCACAATAAAAGTTTGATCCCTGCTCCCAAAGTCTTTGTCACAATAAAAGTTTGATCCCTGCTCCCAAAGTCTGTGTCACAATAAAAGTTAGATCCCTGCTCCCAAAGTCTGTCACAATAAAAGTTTGATCCCTGCTCCCAAAGTCTGTGTCACAATAGAAGTTTGATCCCTGCTCCCAAAGTCTGTGTCACAATAGAAGTTTGATCCCTGCTCCCAAAGTCTGTGTCACAATAAAAGTTTGATCCCTGCTCCCAAAGTGTCGCAATAAAAGTTTGATCCCTGCTCCCAAAGTCTGTGTCACAATAAAAGTTTGATCCCTGCTCATAAAGTCTGTCACAATAAAAGTTTGATCCCTGCTCCCAAAGTATGTGTCACAATACGTTTGATCCCTGTTATACAAGTCTGTGTCACAATATGTTTCATCACACACACATATGTCACAATTAAAGTTTGATCCCCGCTACACACGTCTGTCCCAATACACGCTGTCTTGCGACTTTGGTCTGCTGGAAAAAAGGACTACAACAATGTTACACAAAACACAATGCTCCTACGGAATTTCAACAAACAAAATAGAAAGCTCTTGTAAATGTTTTACTTGATATAATTGAATAAATGCCTAGTTCTAAAGACAGGTGTTCACACATTGTCATCTGTTCTTTGCCTGAGTCTTGTTGTGTTTTCTCTAAACTTTAAGTTAATCAACTCTTGTTAGATCTATAGAGGCTTCTAGTACGAATAACTTTCGTTTTTTTTAAATATCGTGTCAAAGACAGTCTATAGAAATGCAGATTATAAAAATCGATTTTATTTTTAAATATCTAAAAAAAATTGTTAAGACATGTAAGAACGATTTTTTATGATATTTAGGCTCAAGATCTATGGCATGTTATAGAGTTTTTAAAAAAATGTTAATGTTGTTTATGGAAGTCAGGTAAAATACGAAAATTCTATAAATATTGCCATCAGATATTCGAGATTTTCTTGACACGTTTAATTACCAGTTGATAATCGATTACTGGTACTGACATACATCAATACCAGTCCTTTAATACTCGATTACTTGTCCTCACATGTGTCGATACCATTTTTCAATACTCGACAACTTATCCTGACGTACCTCGATACCTGTCATCTAATGACTACTTGTCCTAAAATACTTCGATACTATTCTACCAGTACTTATCCCGACGACACGTACTTGTGTCCACACTCTAAAATTGCACTGACCTGAACCCACCGCCCGATTGTATCTGATCTTAAACCAGCTGTTGATCCAAATCACTGGCCCCAGTTTGGGAACTAGCCACTTCAAAATATTGTATAGAAATGTTTTTGTGTGACGCCGTCGTGATTTCTATCCTGCCGTACAACATTCTCTACTTGAACATTTGTCTATTGTACAGTTCTCTCCCTGCACTGACTCTAGTCTACATTCTATAAATAGAAAGTCTGAGACCTCTCCGTGTGCATGCCTTAGTGTGTGCTAGACATGTCTATTCAGGTCATGTCTTTATACAGATCAATTGTGTCATTAAAAATTGTCACTTGTAATTATTTTTTGTGCTGGATTTGTCGGTACTTGTTTGTTCTCATACTGAGACATTAAGGAGTTATTCGGCTGTAAATCTTACATCGATACCGGTTGAATAACCACCGATACGATACTGTATTACGTTATGATTGGTTTATTTTTGTGTTGTGAAACCCGCTGTGGAATGAACATGTAGCCAGTAAAGGGACATTGTTGTTACCTACTTGTCACTTCTTTTTAACCTTCTTTCAGATATCTACACTTGATTACTTTTTCGTTATGTGCTATCTCATTCTTTTTCACATGTCTCATAGTGCTTCTTTCAGACATTTTTCTTCAGGGGGAGGGGGGCACTAGTGAAAGAAAATCTAGCCTGAAAGAAACTCAGGTTTCGCTTTTTAAACTAACCCTACCACTCCAAAGGTCTTATTGTCAGAGCTTCGATAATCTTTACGTCTAGATACAAAGTTCTGATATAAACGGTCTAGCCATGTTTTTATACTTCCCCTATCATCTTGGATCCTATCCCCCTACCACAAGCAACAGACGGGGCATTTGACCACATGCGAAATGCCTTTAACTCGCTATGTTCAAAACCCCCTTAAACAATGCCACGCAGCCCACAGCAAGTCGAAGACTCAACGAAAAGCTCTCGGTGTTTTAAAAAAAAACCTCAACTCTCAGATGACGTAAATTGCTAATTTAAAGATGAGAGGAACGCGCGTCTGGTTCATAGCTGCTCTGTTGAGCTGTTTTAATAAACATCAAACGGACGCAACTTCCGGCTGCGCCAGGCTCGAACATGGAGTGAAATGCGCAGCCAAACTGTTGGCGGTAACTAGCCATTACGGCTCTGGTCGACTCGCTGCTGCAGTGGCGCGGTCCTGCTCGTTTGTTTAGAGAGAATTCACGGCTAGAATAAGTACATGGGGTGGGAGGATAATTTTACTAACCTAAAGCTAATAATCTGAAAATACGACTTCCACTAATAGAAGACCCCTCACACTCCCCGATCTTGCACCCCACTCCCTGACCCCGATGTAGCTGAACTTTAAAAAAAATTAAAGTACTGAAGGTTTAGGTTGTAATAGCTTGACCAGGACAATTTTTCTATCACCCGTGGCTTACCTTTTTCTTCTTGATTTACAAGTTTTCCTTTCCCATCCCATAAGAGATTTGTTTTCCATTGTCATTTGTTACGACATCGTTTTCCTTTATAACTATAAAAAAAAATTCTTATCTTTTACGACATGTTCCCATTTTTCATTCCCATCGTTACATTGCGACATACACCTTTTCCATTTCAACCTTTAACGACGTACCCATTTCTCTTACGACTCTAACATTCTCGATTTTGATGTTACATTTTCTATTTCACGTTTTTTTTTTTTAACCAGTAGAACTTGCAGAGTCTGCTAAACCACCCTCTCCCGACTGATAAAATATTTTTTTTGCTGTTATCAATAAATCATCTGTTTATCGATCAGGTCTTGACAGCTTGTATTCTACAAGAAACAACTTTTTTGTTGATTTTTTCACAATGAGTTTTTTTTTTTTTTTAATGTTTTCCAGGGGCAAGTGTCACGTAGTCCAATACACTGACCTCAGGTCAGCCTGCAGCTTTGTGCCCAGTCCGGACCATTTTTTCTACATCCTCGCCTACAGACCGGACAACAGGAGGCTGGCGACCACGCAGGGCGAGATCAGGGTGGGGCCGAGCCATCAGGTGGGTCCGTCTAGTTGGTTTACAGGTGGGGGTCGTGGTTTACAGGTGCTGGTCGTGGTTTACAGGTGGTGGTCGTGGTTTACAGGTGCTGGTCGTGGTTTACAGGTGGTGGTCGTGGTTTACAGGTGGTGGTCGTGGTTTACATGTGGGGGTCGTGGTTTACAGGTGGTGGTCGTGGTTTACAGGTGGTGGTCATGGTTTACAGGTGCTGGTCGTGGTTTACAGGTGGGGGTCGTGGTTTACAGGTGGGGGTCGTGGTTTACAGGTGGTGGTCGTGGTTTACAGGTGGTGGTCGTGGTTTACAGGTGGTGGTCGTGGTTTACAGGTGGTGGTCGTGGTTTACAGGTGGTGGTCGTGGTTTACAGGTGGTGGTCGTGATTTACATTTGGTGGTCGTGGTTTACCTTGGTGTCTATAAACAATCTAGGCTCGGGGGGGGGGGGGGTCTTGATGCCTCACTTGAAGTCTGGTGACTGGTAGATTAGTTAGCCGTGGACCGTAAAGAACATCTGCTTGATATATTTAAACTAAAAACTACAAATGATGAATTTATAATTGCACTACAACTGTATATTTGGGTTTTTGTCAGCTTGAAAATGTGAATGTTATTTGGTGGGTTTTTAGTTAGTCACTTTATGCTAAGTGTGCTAGTACTTTAGTCGTATGGGTTATTTTTTTCCCCAATCAACCAGTAATCTACCATATACCTCTGGTTCCCTTCCATTTTGATCACAAACCCTTGTCTCCCACTGATTACACCCTTGTATCTCCACACTGACCACACTCACCCTTTTCTCCCCTCTGACCACTCCCCTTGTCTCCCCACTAACCACACACCTTTTTCCCCACTGACCACTCGCCCTTGTCTGCCCACTGGCCACCCACCATTGTCTCTCCCCACTGACCACTCGCCCTTGTCTCCCCACTAACCACACATTTTTCCCTACTGACCACTCACCCTTGTCTCTCCCCACTGACCACTCACCCTTGTCTCTCCCCACTGACCACTCGCCCTTGTCTCCCCACTAACCACACATTTTTCCCTACTGACCACTCACCCTTGTCTCTCCCCACTGACCACTCACCATTGTCTCTCCCCACTGACCACTCGCCCTTGTCTCCCCACTAACCACACATTTTTCCCCACTGACCACTCACCCTTGTCTCTCCCCACTGACCACTCACCCTTGTCTCCCCCCACTGACCACTCACCCTTATCTCTCCCCCACTGACCACTCACCCTTGTCTCTCCCCCCACTGACCACTCACCCTTATCTCTCCCCCACTGACCACTCACCCTTGTCTCTCCCCCCACTGACCACTCACCCTTGTCTCTCCCCACTGACCACCCACCCTTGTCTCTCTCCCCACTGACCACTCAACCTTGTCTCTCCCCACTGACCACTCACCCTTGTCTCCCCCCACTTACCACTCATCCTTGTCTCCCCCCACTAACCACTCACCCTTGTCTCTCTCCCCACTGACCACCCACCCTTGTCTCTCCCCCCACTGACCACTCACCCTTGTCTCCCTCCACTGACCACTCACCCTTGTCTCTCCCCACTGACCACTCACCACTCACCCTTGTCTCTCCCCCACTGCCCAGGCTCGGCTACCAGAATGTAAACCAGACACGAACCCCGCGGACATGCCTGAGATGTGTGAGCACCGCGAGGAGATCAGGTGGAGACCCAACCGTGTTGTTGACGGGGACCTGCTCATGTACCTGGGCGCTGCCAGGTAAGACGTTCACACTTACCTGTAGCTGGTGAAAGCTGGGATCATTTGCTCGCTGCTCTTAGTGATTTACGATCTGATGCTGTCCATAGATTAGGTTCCTTTTTATTTCTATGAAGGTGCATAACTGGTGTAAAATCAGTGAACCTTATATCCCAACTGTGAATTCTAGTTAGAGCATCAAAGAGATTGACTTAACGCACCAAGTTGCACCCACTCACCAGCTGGTTTTTGTGTCTTTTTTTGTTGTTTTTATTTTGTTGTCCTGGTTGTGCTTGTTTAATTTATATTGCAGCTAGATCTATAGATTTATGATGTGTAGTTCTTTCAACGTTTTAGTTGACACCACATCATGTGCATAATATACTGGTTACATTGTTCTGTGTTGTTTACCTCGGTCCTCCTCTGTTTACCTCGGTCCTCCTCTGTTTACCTCGGTCCTCCTCTGTTTACCTCGGTCCTCCTCTGTTTACCTCGGTCCTCCTCTGTTTACCTCGATCCTCCTCTGTTTACCTCGGTCCTCCTCTGTTTACCTCGGTCCTCCTCTGTTTACCTCGGTCCTCCTCTGTTTACCTCGGTCCTGTTCTGTTTACCTCGGTCCTGTTCTGTTTACCTCGGTCCTGTTCTGTTTACCTCGGTCCTCCTCTGTTTACCTCGGTCCTCCTCTGTTTACCTCGGTCCTCCTCTGTTTACCTCGGTCCTCCTCTGTTTACCTCGATCCTCCTCTGTTTACCTCGGTCCTCCTCTGTTTACCTCGATCCTCCTCTGTTTACCTCGGTCCTCCTCTGTTTACCTCGATCCTCCTCTGTTTACCTCGGTCCTCCTCTGTTTACCTCGATCCTCCTCTGTTTACCTCGGTCCTCCTCTGTTTACCTCGGTCCTCCTCTGTTTACCTCGGTCCTGTTCTGTTTACCTCGGTCCTGTTCTGTTTACCTCGGTCCTGTTCTGTTTACCTCGGTCCTCCTCTGTTTACCTCGGTCCTCCTCTGTTTACCTCGGTCCTCCTCTGTTTACCTCGGTCCTGTTCTGTTTACCTCGGTCCTGTTCTGTTTACCTCGGTCCTGTTCTGTTTACCTCGGTCCTGTTCTGTTTACCTCGGTCCTGTTCTGTTTACCTCGGTCCTGTTCTGTTTACCTCGGTCCTCCTCTGTTTACCTCGGTCCTGTTCTGTTTACCTCGGTCCTGTTCTGTTTACCTCGGTCCTGTTCTGTTTACCTCGGTCCTGTTCTGTTTACCTCGGTCCTGTTCTGTTTACCTCGGTCCTGTTCTGTTTACCTCGGTCCTGTTCTGTTTACCTCGGTCCTGTTCTGTTTACCTCGGTCCTGTTCTGTTTACCTCGGTCCTCCTCTGTTTACCTCGGTCCTCCTCTGTTTATGTTGGTCCTGTTCTGTTTATCTTGGTCCTGTTCTGTTTATCTTGGTCCTGTTCTGTTTATCTTGGTCCTGTTCAATTTACGTCGGTCCTGTTCAGTTTACGTCGGTCCTATTCAGTTTACGTCGGTCCTGTTCTGTATACTTGGTCCTGTCCTGTATACGTTGTTCCTGTCCGGTTTGCGTTAGCCCTAGCCCTGTCCTTTTTATGTTGGTCCTGTTCTATATACATTCTCCTGTCCTGGTTACATTGGTCCTGTTCTGTTTACATTGGTCCTTTGTTGTTGTTTTGTTCAGTGTACTAGTGTCACGTAAGAAGAACCCCCCTCCCCCCCCCCGTACTAACCTGTATAACATGAATGCACCCACCTGTTGTGTCCCCAGGAGTATAGCGGCGTTCGCTGGCATGTGTGGGGGGACAGCCGAGGACAGATGTGAGGCCGAGGCTATGGACGAGACAACGGTCAACGCACTGGACACTGTGAGTACCCCATCCGTTTTCCTAGAGTTTATTGAGATGGTGCCGTTAGTTGTATGCTTGTAAACTGTAAACATTCGCATATGCTGTATGGACGATAGTGTGTTGTATAGTATCTAGCCATCTGCAATAAAGTGATGGAGAGAGGGGGGGATGACTCTGAACGTGTCTGTCAGATCCCTAAGGATTGATGTTAGGAAGTAAAACGTTTTCTCTTAACCCCCACTTCAGAGAAACGCCTACACAGATTTCCTCCATCTTCAAACCGTGCATCACCCCCTCCCCCTTCAAACCGTGCATCTCTCCTCCCCATCCCCCCACCTTCATCTTTAAAGCATAGATCAGCACTCCCTATTCCCTATCGTTTAACACCTATGCTAGGTTTCCCTGCTCGCCATCTATGCAAGGCTCAATCTTTTAATCGTAAGACCGGTCTCTTTATTGAAACCTATGCTAAGCTTCACTATCCGTTATGTTTTACAATCGATACTAGGTTAACGTATTCCCCAAAGCTTAAAAAATAAAAGTCGGTCTCTGTATTCCACAACTTTAAAACTTAAAACGGGTCTCTATATTCCACAAATTTTTTTAAAACTTAAAGCTGGTCTCTTCGCTTCCCCCCACCAATCCCCCACCCCCCTTTTAAAACCGCTACCAGCCCTCACTCCCCGTTCGCCCACAACTTCTGGCGGCACTGACATATATTCTGTATGTAAAGAAGTTGTTTGGCGCGGCCCTGCAGTCGTGCAGGCGAGGGTGAGTGATGGCCACTCACGCGGGCCCCAGGTGTGGAATGGAAGTGTAATTATCAGGTGAGGGATCATTAGCGCAGGTACATTACCAGAGGGAGGGGGGGTGCCGCTTGGTTAAATTTTTCAAAGCGCCATTGGATGCAGACAATTTGATAGCTTTCTTCTCTAATAATCATGAAGCAACAGAGTAGCTGGTCTTTGAACAGTTGAACGCAAGTCAAGTAGAAAGCGAAGGGGGCCGGTGTTTGTGCCTGCAGCGAGTAATTTAATTAGTTAATTTGCAGATGTGTGCATAGTAAAACCAGATTGGTTAGAGCAGTGATAGGCAGATGCGTGGGATTTTATTGTGTGCTGTTTGGGCAGCACGCACATGCTTTAGGATGAATTTAATTGGTAATTTGAGAGCCCGGGGGGGGGGGATGAGACGAGTTAACTCTTCTGAGGGATGACTTTTTTAAAATACTGGCAGTGCCTTGCTAACCAGCCTAATGGAGTATTTCCGTTCTTCGGGGTTTAAAACTTTGAGGGTATTACCGTAATCAAACACACTTGAATGTGTCAGGAATGTTAACATTGGGTTCGCTGTTATATTTTTTTCCCCCTCGATGGTTACTTTTTGACCAGGTTTGAAATCCGTTTATCAGCATTCCTTTGTTTTGCTAAATATATGCTCACTTGATGCGAATTGCTTGTATACTACTGCATACAGCATTCCTTTGTTTGGTTAGATCTATGCTCACTTTATGTGAATAGCTTGTACACTACTGCATACAGCATTCCTTTGTTTGGTTAGATCTATGCTCACTTTATGTGAATAGCTTGTACACTACTGCATACAGCATTCCTTTGTTTGGTTAGATCTATGCTCACTTTATGTGAATAGCTTGTACACTACTGCATACAGCATTCCTTGTCCGTGTCCACAACTCCGCTAACAACAGTCTTACATACGTTACCTAGACCATGATGTCCCCTAACGAGGTTTGTGATCCATTTCCCATCCTGCCTGCCCCACTCCAGTAACGCATAGCATTATGTGAGTCTATGGGGTTAGCATATGGTACACACATACTCATTGAGTAGCAGGAAGTACCGTTTGTGGGTCCACACACTTCATACACACAACAACACACGCAATAACAACACGCGCAATAACAACACTAATAACAACACACACAACACACAACAAAAACACACGCAACAACAACACACACAACAGCAATTGTATATTTTGTTGTAGGGGATCCACACTTAACACATGCACGCGCCACACACGAATAGCATGGTTCCCAGAAAGATGCGCAACGCAACAAAGCGTGTTTAGGGTCTAACAAAATCTCACCCCAGCGTCTCAAGTCTCAGGAGAATGACCTGAGATAGCCTGCCCTGACCCAGTGGACCTGCAGCCATAACTTAACACCTCCCCCGCCCCCCACAACCACACACAAACAGGCGCCTGCTACAGGAAATGGCCCCACTGTTGCTGTGTGTTAATCCTTGTTTGTCGTGTGTCGGTCTGTTGGACATTTTTTACAACATGCCGCCAACCTATCTGACCTGGCAAACATCAACACCCCCACATTTTTGTATCAACACCCACACATTTTATATCAACACCACACATTTTATATCAACACCACACTTTTTTGTATCAACACCCACACATTTTATATCAACACCACACATTTTATATCAACACCATAGCTTTGTGTATCCATACCCGAAATGTTTCTATCAACACACCACACATTTTATATCAACACCACACATTTTTGTACCAACACCCCCACATTTTATATCAACACCACACATTTTATATCAACACCACACATTTTTGTATCAACACCCACACATTTCATATCAACACCACAGCTTTGTGTATCCATATCCGAAATGTTTCTATCAACACACCACATTTTTTATATCAACACACCGAGTATTAACACCACACATTGGATCAACACCCGTATTTTTATCAGTACCCCTCCCCCCCCCCCCCCATTTTTTTAATCAACACTTCAATTTGTATATCAACATGGGATATCTACTAAGCACACCTGCGCAAATCTACATCTGCATCTAATTAGCCTACCTGCTAGCCTATAATACACATGGCCTGGCAGATTTTATCAACCCGGCTACTGCCCTACACAGTTTATCAACCCAACTTGTATCAACCCAACTTGTATCAACCCAACTTGTATCAACCCAACTTGTATCAACCCAACTTGTATCAACCCAACTTGTATCAACCCAGCTTGTTTCAACCCAACTTGTATCAACCCAACTTGTATCAACCCAACTTGTATCAACCCAACTTGTATCAACCCAACTTGTATCAACCCAGCTTGTTTCAACCCAACTTGTATCAACCCAACTTGTATCAACCCAACTTGTATCAACCCAACTTGTTTCAACCCAACTTGTTTCAACCCAACTTGTTTCAACCCAACTTGTATCAACCCAACTTGTATCAACCCAACTTGTTTCAACCCAACTTGTATCAACCCAACTTGTATCAACCCAACTTGTATCAACCCAACTTGTATCAACCCAACTTGTATCAACCCAACTTGTTTCAACCCAGCTTGTTTCAACCCAACTTGTTTCAACCCAACTTGTTTCAACCCAACTTGTATCAACCCAACTTGTATCAACCCAACTTGTATCAACCCAACTTGTTTCAACCCAACTTGTATCAACCCAACTTGTATCAACCCAACTTGTATCAACCCAACTTGTATCAACCCAACTTGTATCAACCCAACTTGTATCAACCCAACTTGTATCAACCCAACTTGTTTCAACCCAACTTGTATCAACCCAACTTGTATCAACCCAACTTGTATCAACCCAACTTGTATCAACCCAACTTGTATCAACCCAACTTGTATCAACCCAACTTGTATCAACCCAACTTGTATCAACCCAACTTGTATCAACCCAACTTGTATCAACCCAACTTGTTTCAACCCAACTTGTATCAACCCAACTTGTATCAACCCAACTTGTATCAACCCAACTTGTATCAACCCAACTTGTATCAACCCAACTTGTATCAACCCAACTTGTATCAACCCAACTTGTATCAACCCAACTTGTATCAACCCAACTTGTATCAACCCAACTTGTATCAACCCAACTTGTATCAACCCAACTTGTATCAACCCAACTTGTATCAACCCAACTTGTATCAACCCAACTTGTATCAACCCAACTTGTATCAACCCAACTTGTATCAACCCAACTTGTATCAACCCAACTTGTATCAACCCAACTTGTATCAACCCAACCTGTATCAACCCAACCTGTATCAACCCAACTTGTATCAACCCAACTTGTATCAACCCAACTTGTATCAACCCAACTTGTTTCAACCCAACTTGTATCAACCCAACTTGTATCAACCCAACTTGTATCAACCCAACTTGTATCAACCCAACTTGTATCAACCCAACCTGTATCAACCCAACCTGTATCAACCCAACCTGTATCAACCCAACTTGTATCAACCCAACTTGTATCAACCCAACTTGTATCAACCCAACTTGTATCAACCCAGCTACTGCCCTGCACAGTTTATCAACCTTACGTGTATCAACCCAATTTATATCAACCCGGCTACTGCCCTACACACACAATTTACCAACCCTGCAAGTATCCACCCACCACCCACGGGAGTTTCCACGCCAAAATCTCCGAGTAGCGCGGTACTCAATGAACAAACCCCCCCCCCCCCCACCTCTCCACCTGCTCCCAGTAGACTACTTGCTGCTCCCAGTAGACTACTTGCTGCTCCCAGTAGACTACTTGCTGCTCCCAGTAGACTACTTGCTGCTCCCAGTACTTGCGCCTCGTTTGATGGCCTGACGTCAACGTTGGCTCACTGCTGATTGGGTTTCCATAACCTGGTGGCCAAGAATGTTCCAGGCTAGAACCGCTCACCTGTGTTGTTTCTACCTGCCTGACCTTTGTTTGCTGGAACTCGAGGCGCTAAATGTAGCCTGTGGGTGGAGGGCGGGGAGGGGGGATTTTTTTTCCCACCTTGAAAATGTTAAGTGAATATCTCATCTCACAAATTAAAACGGCATAACTAGGAATTAATTAGACCTATGCCTGTATGTGACAGTTGTTCAGCCTGTGTGTGTTAGAGATTATTAAAAGGTATGTTAAAACGTGAGTGACAGCTGGACAAAGCCTTAAACTCACCTGGATTTTTTTTGATCGGTTTACATTTGGTCTGTTTAATAATTGTCTGATCTCCCGTGGCTTAAAGTCTATCTATCTATCTATCTATCTATCTATCTATCTATCTATCTATCTATCTATCTATCTATCTATCTATCTATCTATCTATCTATCTATCTATCTATCTATCTATCACATACACATTCTTTCACACACAAGCCCTCATGCTCTATAACATACACACTTTCTCACATATCCTACACACCTTTTCACACACACACACCTTCTCTCACACACACTTTCTCACACACACACACCTTCTCACACACACACCTTCTCACACACACACTCACTTTCTCACCAACACACACACACCTTCTCGCATACATTCACTTTATCACCAAAACACACACACACACACCTCGCATACACTCACTTTCTCCCCAACACACACACACACACTTTCTCACCAACAAACTCACACGTGAGGTGTACGTGTGGCGTGACACTGGAGACCTATGCCGCCGACTCTGGTGAAACAGAAGTGTAAACTCTGGCACCTACAGCGTCAGGGCATTGTGTTCACCAACGGTTTCCAGATGTCGCCCGGGGGTAGATAGGGCGCCGTCCTGGAAACACGAAGCTTACATTAGGGCAGCTGCTGGCAGTTATGTGGGTTAGGTGTTACATCAGGGGCGTGTACATGGAGGTGTGTTGTGGGGGCACATCTAGGTGTGTTGTGGGGGTAGATAGGGCGCCGTCCTGGAAACACGAAGCTTACATTAGGGCAGCTGCTGGCAGTTATGTGGGTTAGGTGTTACATCAGGGGCGTGTACATGGAGGTGTGTTGTGGGGGCACATCTAGGTGTGTTGTGGGGGTAGATAGGGCGCCGTCCTGGAAACACGAAGCTTACATTAGGGCAGCTGCTGGCAGTTATGTGGTCTGGGTGTTACATCAGGGGCGTGTACATGGTGGTGTGTTGTGGGGTAGATAGGGCGCCGTCCTGGAAACACGAAGCTTACATTAGGGCAGCTGCTGGCAGTTATGTGGGCTGGGTGTTACATCAGGGGCGTGTGCATGGAGGTGTGTTGTGGGGGCACATCTAGGTGTGTTGTGGGGGTACATCTAGGTGTGTTGTGGGGGTAGATAGGGCGCCGTCCTGGAAACACGAAGCTTACATTAGGGCAGCTGCTGGCAGTTATGTGGTCTAGGCGTTACATCAGGGGCGTGTGTCAGACGTGCGAGTACATGGGGGTGTGTTGTGGGGGTACATCTAGGTGTGTTGTGGGGGTAGATAGGGCGCCGTCCTGGAAACACGAAGCTTACATTAGGGCAGCTGCTGGCAGTTATGTGGTCTAGGCGTTACATCAGGGGCGTGTGTCAGACGTGCGAGTACATGGAGGTGTGTTGTGTGTGGGGGGCACATCTAGGTGTGTTGTGGGGCACATCTAGGTGTGTTGTGGGGTACAGCTAGGTGTGTTGTGGGGGTAGATAGGGCGCCGTCCTGGAAACACGAAGCTTACATTGGGGCAGCTGCTGGCAGTTATGTGGGCTGGGTGTTACATCAGGGGCGTGTGTCAGACGTGCGAGTACATGGGGGTGTGTTGTGGGGGCACATCTAGGTGTGTTGTGGGGGTACATCTAGGTGTGGTGTGGGAGCACATCTAGGTGTGTTGTGGGGGTACAATTTGGTGTGTTGTGGGGGTACATCTAGGTGTGTTGTGGGGTACATACATCTAGGTGTGTTGTGGGGGCACATCTGGGTGTGTTGTGGGGGCACATCTGGGTGTGTTGTGGGGGCACATCTAGGTGTGTTGTGCGCTACACCTTCTGTCTAAAAGAGCATACATGTGTAGGACGAGCACATCTGAGCTCATTACACAACGCTATTTTTATACCAGCAAACAAATCTATATCTTTCGGCTAATTAACTGCCATCTACCTGTAAACAAAACCCATTTTTCTCTCTCCCCCAACTAGACGAAGGCTGGTTGTCTATTAAATCCCCATTACCTGCAATCTTTGATATCTCTGCCATATCGGATCTTCATAAATTACAGCCATTGATAAAACGGTCTTCCATAGCACATTATCGCCCTCAGCTGAACGCTTATCGCTGAAGTTGCCCTCAATAGAAATTTCAAGTATTGAATATGAAAGCGTCTTTGTCAGCGCGAGGCGTCTTAGTGCGGCAGACGATATAGTCGGCCATTGTTTAAACAAGGGGCAGATAAACGCTACTGGGAACGGCATCGTCTGCTGCTAGTCGGCTGCAGTCAATTATCCTGCCTTGAGAAATCCTTGCTTAAACTTAAACTAAAACGAACCCTGGGGAACAGGTAAAGCTGCCCCCACCCCCTACCCAACACACCCCACATTAATTAATATTTTTTTTACTGATAACAGCGTGATTTGTGTTACGTTATTTACCTTAAGAATTATGTCTGGCAGACATACGTCAAAATATATCTAGATCAAAGTGCTAGCGCCCCCACCCCCGGGGATGTGATACGACACTTGTGTGGCTCAGCGTGGCACCAAAGGGTTAGAAGTATATCGGCAATACATTTTTTAAAACTTACACTATACACATTTTCATAACACGGTGTGCTAATTTTTTCCGGGGGATGTGGGGTGGTTATGTTGTCAGTAGCTTGAATATCCTGCCCCATTTCTCTTTAGATTCCTGCTCCCCACATACCCCCCCCCCCCACCCCAACACACAAACACACAACTTTGACACCCCCAACACACAGAGAAGAGGCTGTAAACTCAGAGGGCTTGTGGAAGATTATGTAACACCACACTGTTAACACCTTACCAATTCTCTTTCCCCCCTCCCCCCTCCCCTCTTCCCCCTCATAAATGGCGTCATCAGTCATGTGATCTTCGAGCTGGTGCTATTTGTGTCCGTACTTTAACACTGTGTAATCGCCTCTGGGAAGTGTGTTATTGCCCCTTGCTAAAAATGCAATGAAAACTAAAAGCTTGGTACAGGCCCTTGAAAATACTTAACTGCCGAGTTTGAATTTGATACGAGGACTCTGCTTGTATGACTGCTTGTTTTAAATGCTGAACAAATTCAATCCAGCGTTAAAAATCAAACAAATTAGTTCTGCTTCCAACACTTTACACGATCAGATTTGGGCAGCGTTCTTTCTACACATGAAATAATTAATAGTGTTCGTTGGGATTTTTTTTTAAACCCGTTGGTTATGTTTATGGGGAGGCGGGGAGCGTTGGCTGTGATTGTGCATTCCTTTTCGTGTCTAATGTTGCCGTTTGTTGTTATTAATTACACGTCGGGTCTGACGTAATCGTCTCACCTGTTCTTGGGGGCTGGGGTGGTAACTAACGTATGGGGGGGGGGGAGATACACGTTTGTTGAGATCTGCCAGGAATGTTAGTGAGCGCGTGTGTGGAATTATTTATCATTAGCGGCGCCGTGTGATGTGTAGGTTAGACATCACTGGACCCCCACACGGCACCTGCTCACACGGACATGCGCAGTGGCTGTGTGTTAGCTTGACATGCGCTGTGACAGTGTTAGCTTGACATGCGCTGTGACAGTGTTAGCTTGACATGCGCCGTGACAGCGTGTTAGCGTGACATGCGCAGTGACAGTGTGTTAGCTTGACATGCGCTGTGATAGTGTGTTAGCTTGACATGCGCTGTGACAGTGTGTTAGCTTTACATGCACTGTGATTGTGTATAATCTTGACAAGCGTCGTGACAGTGTGTTAGCTTGACATGCGCTGTGACAGTGTGTTAGCTTGACATGCGCTGTGACAGTGTGTTAGCTTTACATGCACAGTGATTGTGTATAATCTTGACAAGCGTCGTGACAGTGTGTTAGCGTGACAAGCGTCGTGACAGTGTTGGCTTGACATGCGCTGTGACAGTGTGTTAGCTTGACATGCGCTGTGACAGTGTGTTAGCTTTACATGCACAGTGATTGTGTATAATCTTGACAAGCGTCGTGACAGTGTGTTAGCGTGACAAGCGTCGTGACAGTGTTGGCTTGACATGCGCTGTGACAGTGTGTTAGCTTTACATGCACAGTGATTGTGTATAATCTTGACAAGCGTCGTGACAGTGTGTTAGCGTGACAAGCGTCGTGACAGTGTTGGCTTGACATGCGCTGTGACAGTGTGTTAGCTTGACATGCGCTGTGACAGTGTGTTAGCTTTACATGCACAGTGATTGTGTATAATCTTGACAAGCGTCGTGACAGTGTGTTAGCGTGACAAGCGTCGTGACAGTGTGTTAGCGTGACAAGCGCTGTGACAGTGTGTTAGCTTGACATGCGCTGTGACAGTGTGTTAGCTTGACATGCGCTGTGACAGTGTGTTAGCTTGACATGCGCTGTGACAGTGTGTTAGCTTTACATGCACAGTGATTGTGTATAATCTTGACAAGCGTCGTGACAGTGTGTTAGCGTGACAAGCGTCGTGACAGTGTTGGCTTGACATGCGCTGTGACAGTGTGTTAGCTTGACATGCGCTGTGACAGTGTGTTAGCTTTACATGCACAGTGATTGTGTATAATCTTGACAAGCGTCGTGACAGTGTGTTAGCGTGACAAGCGTCGTGACAGTGTTGGCTTGACATGCGCAGTGGCTGTGTGTTAACTTGACATGCGCTGTGACAGTGTGTTAGCTTGACATGCGCTGTGACAGTGTGTTAGCTTTACATGCACAGTGATTGTGTATAATCTTGACAAGCGTCGTGACAGTGTGTTAGAGTGACAAGCGTCGTGACAGTGTTGGCTTGACATGTTACTCATTTATGACGTATATTCTCGAAAGCCACAAGTTCGGATCACATACTCTACTGTCAGTAGAACGTCCGTGAGTCCACCCAGCTCTGATGGGTACCTGACTCAGTTAAACCCATTTATCAAATGGTGCATGTATAAAGCATTGTAGAGATCTGAACATATTATTCATGTATAAACCCACGTAAAGCATTGAATGCCCCCCTCACCCATTCATGAACGTAACTTTATCTTCACAGCTCCACAAACACAACTACGACACGTCCAAGTCACTGCAAGCTTTAGTCAAAGGACCGTCAGTGATGTACACTGAGAAGAAATGGAACGAGGAAGATATTGTAAGTTGATGTGGTGTTGTTGTTGTGGGTTTGTGCTTGGTTGTTGTAGGTTGTTGTGTACTTGCTGTATGTTGTTGTGTGGTTGTATATTTGTTTTATTGTTGTCTCTGTGTGCAGCTTTTGTAAGTCGATGTGTGGTTGTATGTTTTGTATTGTAATAAGTCTATGTGATTTTTGTAAGATGGTGTATGGCTAAAACAGCCAGTCAATATTGAGCCATCAACGGGTAAATTAGCCGGACAATATACAATCACCAATCGGCTGAAATAGTCAATATTGAGCACCCTGTTACTTAAATGGCTGAAATAGTTAAAATTGAGCCCTCCCCCCTCCAATGGCTTAAATAGCCAGTCAGTATTGAGCACCCTGTCCCTAAAATGGCTGAAATAGTCAAAATCGAGACACCCCCCCCCCCCCAAATGGCTGAAATAGTCAAATTGAGCCCCCCCCCCCCCCAAAGGCTTGAATAGCCAGTCAGTATTGAGCGCCCCCTCCCAAATATCTGGAAAAGCCAGTCACCGCTGACAGCTCCACTGATTGTTGTATTCCCTTCAAAAGTAAACAGACGTCAGCTTTTGATCCGCATATTATGATTTAATTTACACGTTTGAAATAATTATCTTTTAAGAAAATATTTAAAACTTTTTTTTTTTAAAGCCCACATTACTTTCGTTTTCCAGTGCAGTTATTTTAATTTTCTCGAACCCCCCCCCCCCCCCCCCCTTTCATGCGTTTTCTTGGCATCCTCCCTAAGCTGCCATTTTTCTCTCCCCCTTCATCTTGGTCACGCTTAGACTGGGCCTGTCGGCTTCCATTATTGTATAAGGTGGTTGGCGAGAAAACGAGGCACCGTCACCCCCCTCAATCAAGCAGACCATCACCCCCCTAGCGGTGTTACCAGAGGGGAAGTAACACGATTATTCCGTGCTCTATCCAACATCCCCCCCCCTTCCTTCCACACCCCCACCCCCTAAGGGGGGCCACCATGAAATACGGACAAGTACGGTGTTCACAAATGAGAAGATTAAGGAGCCGGTCTCAGGCGAGTCAATAGCTGCGGACCAGATCAATACACGAGCTTGCTGGAGGGAGGGGACTCTCAAACAACAAAACGGCTGGGGGGGGGGCTTTTTTTTTCTTCCCCCTTCTCTCTTTTTTCCCCCCACGTTGTTATTTACCGCAAAATCTCGACAAGGTGACAGAAATCATTACCCATTCTCTGAGAGCAGAGGGGCAGGGTTTTTCTTTGGAGGAATCTAAATATAATAATTACAGTCTTTCAACATGGAATATGATTAGTTGATGAAGGGGCGGGAACGATTGTTTTTGTCGGGACAAAATGGCCTGCTCTGGTCTCGATGTGGAACACCAATAGGGAGTCGTGGAGGGGGGGGGGGAGTCAGCAGATCGGGAATGTCAGGGGTCGAGATTTCGTCCCCGGGGAGGTGGGGGATTTCTACATGACCAGACAGATAACTGACGGACAGTGGCTACAAGTGGCGAGATGTTTGCTGGACACGCGGCAGACGGTGGGGGGGGGGGGGGGGGTCGTGTGGACACACGAGTGGTGTGTAGCACACGCTGCTGAGGCTGTTGCCGTGGGATGTGTAGTACACATTGGTACACAATAGGTTTGAAAACGTGCCCTCGGTTTTTTTGTCTTAGTCTTGAGCCCTAACACACGCAGTCATAATACATCGAATGCTCAGACTTCAACTCTTAAGCTTTTATCCCACACCTAGTTTACTCGTATATGTAATATATGTAAGTCGTGGCTTCGCGTCCAAACAAGTCTTTAAACGCTAGACCCCTCCCCCCCCCTCCATCCATTCTTTCCACCCCACTCCCCGAACCACCCATTTGTTATCCACCTTTGATCTAGGATATTTTTTCCACGTCGGTCTAAAGCCAGTGTAAAAGCCACATCCCCCCCCCCCACACACACACACTCCACACACATACACGCATCCCGTCTCCCACATTTCTAAATTGAGCCGGGGATGTTAGTATTGATTGATTTCTGCCCACGTGAACCTTCTGTCTGTTTGATTTCAATGGCAGGCCCCCACCGGCCAACAATCTCCTGCCTCGGATTGTGAGAAGTGCATGACACCTTATGCTGGGGGTGGGGGTAGGGGGGGGGGCGAATGTCACTTCTAGAATTTAATTTGAGTGTGGGAAATTGAAAATTTGGAAATTAGTGCGTTATGTCCATTTTTTTTTTGTTGTTGTTGCTGTTTGCCGACCTGGTATAAATTATTGCTGTGGTTGTGTGTGGTTGAGAAATGAGATTTGTGGCGGATGTATCTGTAGCCGTGAGGTGGGCATGTGTTATACACGGGTCCCTTGTGTCGTCAGCTGGCGATCTCGTAGTGGATTAACTTTTGTAAGCTGTGTCCCATTTCGGCTGAGTCATACTGGACAGTGCGGTCTGTTGTGTCGTAAATTGTGGCACCGGTGGCCACTGTATTGGTGGCCTCGGTGGCCAGTAAATTGTGGCCAGGGTATTGTCCGGTGACGTGATATGGCTCCTCGTGGCTTCTACGCGGACTTTTAGTCCCTAGCACCAATCTGGTGGTTCCAGTGGTCAGTTGATGTGGTCAGTTTATCGTCAGATGGCGTGACATTGCATTCAGTTGAAATCAACACCCATCTTTCTACTCTTCTTCTTTACACCCCACTCACAATTTTACTTGGGCTTAAGACCATTACACCCCACACACAATTGTACTTCTACTTGGGCTAAAGTCCCTTACACTCATCACATCTTCTACTTAGGCTAAAGTCCCTTACACTAACATCTTCTACTTGGGCTAAAGTCCCTTACACTAACATCTTCTACTTGGGCTAAAGTCACTTACACTCACATCTTCTACTTGGGCTAAAGTCCCTTACACTCACATCTTCTACTTGGGCTAAAGTCCCTTACACTCACCACATCTTCTACTTGGGCTAAAGTCCCTTACACTCACCACATCTTCTACTTGGGCTAAAGTCCCTTACACTCACATCTTCTACTTGGGCTAAAGTCCCTTATACCCACCGAGAAGACCGATCGATCTTTATCACGTGATCGGAATAAGCAATCAAATCACTGACCTCATTTCCAGCGAGGACCCTCCCACCCTCCCCACCTCACCTCACCCGGCCGTTTTGACTGCAGTAATACGTCTAGCAGCAGGCATTACGTCAACAAACGGCTTTATACAGAGATATTCACAGGCAGGAAGATTTGTATCGATTGTTGATTTGTTTCATTGAACCGGATGTACATGAAAGGTTAAATCACTCCCCCCCACGCACCCTAACCCCCCGAGTAACCGTTAAACACATAAATTAGTCTGCCTCGTTTGTTAAGACACCATCGGATCAAGTCAAAACGAGAATGTGGTTGAGGGTTATTTTTTCTGTCGAGTATGCTGTAGACTAAAGGATAGGGGGAGGCATTGTTTTATTTTATCTACTGATTTACTGAGAGCTAATGTCGAGCTTGTCAGTTCAACTCACTCAGGCTGGGGCATCAGGTGCACGCGTATTGCTTTAAATATTTTTTTTTTTTAAGAATCTTTTCATTTTCTGAATGTCGGCCATCTTGGAATTTCCCCTGATGTCACAAGCTTTGTAAACCAGCTTAATCCGGCTCTAATTTGACGTCATTTATCTGGATCCGTCCTGCCAAGATTCTCTCGTGTTTACCGGCATCTCGTGTTTGCTGGCATCTCGTGAAAACCCCCACAGCCACCATTACTAAATCTTCCAATGAATATTTCATGTTCTCGGGCCCAGCGGTTCTGTCATTTGTCAAGCTTACTACCCCAGTCGACGTTAAGAGATTTTTTACTTGCAGTACGATTCCATTTTTTTAGAAGTCCATGTCTGTGAAAACCAATACATTCCTCGCAAAATAAAAGTCACCGGCTGAGATGCACGGAGTGTATGGATTTGAAAGAGAGACTTTGATTTATGTTAAATTTTTTTTTCATAATCAGTTTCTCCCTTCTCTCTCTCCCCCCCCCCCCCCCCCCCCATATCTCTCCCCGAGGTTCAACTGTCAATATTTTAACTCCTCTTCATCTGTTTCAAGCATATCTTGTCAATTTATTTTTTTCTCAGCAGCTTTCTGCAGTAACCAGCTTTGTAACTGCTATTTTAACGTCACTGTCCTCATCTTCCCTTTCCTATTCTCCCCACCTCCCTTCTCCTTTTTTTTCCCCCCAACGACAACGCTTTTTTCCCCTCTCTCCCCGTCTAAGAATAAAAGTTGTCTCCGCTTGGCGAGAAGGCCTATCGATCAAGCACCCCTAGATATTGATGCTTGTCTGCCCAAAGTTCTCGCCCCTTGTTTGGTGACCGCTGATGATTTTCCTTTATTAACATCCGGTAGGCCCTGAGGGGCCAAGGGAGATCACTCGAGTGCCGTTATTATCCAGATGCATAAGTCGTAACTGTCGGGGGGGAGGAAAAAGCGAGCAGGCGCGAACCCAACCCTTGTGAGAGAGGGGGGGGAGCTTCCATTGGTTGGTTTTTGTGAGGGCGATGAACATCTAAATTACCGCTAGGCCTACTAATCAAAGGTGAAAACCTTAACGATCAAAATGCCCGTGGGCTTGATGCATTAGCTGACAGCTAGTAGCTGCTTGTCGCGGTAAAGGTCACGGTGATTATCTCCCATGTTTCAGAATATAGTGATGTGTGGAATTGGGGGGGAGGGGTTGAGGGTTGATTTATTTACTTATGTATGAAAATACATATGTACAGGAATACTGTAGATGCATTACGGCATACTCTCAGTTAAATATTTTATTTAAAGTCTAGATTTAGTAATAATTGACTGAAGTGAAGAGACAAAAATAGTTTTTAATTGTGTACAGTATCTGGATATACTCGCCATGTTTGTTTTATATGTACAATGTGTACACTGTGTGTACGCATCAAGTTATTAGATGTATATATGATGCCCTTGTCCATGATTCGATGTAATTACATGTAAATGTCCGACTGGTGTGCCATCATGTATGAAAGCCTTTGGTTACCATTTTTAGGTCTTAAACTCAATATTTTGTTATTGTACTCCCCACAGAAACGCTTTGCCAAAGGTCTTCGACACCTAGGCAAAAACTTCTTCAAGATCAGGAAAGAACATTTACCTCACAAGGATACGGTAAGTCTTTTTTTTTTTAAATTACCCGCCCCTGTCCGTTTTTTGTTGAAATTATCTTTCCTTTGATGTTTAAAGAAAATATCAGCAAACCCAGTTACAAGTATTTCTGCTACATCTTAAAGACAACTCTGCTGGAAAAAAAAATATTCTATTAATCTACCATCTATTACCTTGGTTGTCTACCCCTGCATGACTCCGTTTAAGACACTTAAAAAACCTGTTCTCAAAGACCAACTTGTGTCTCACTCTTAAACCTCCCTATTGATGTTTAACTTTCTATACATTTATCTACGTCCAACACCCCCCCCCCCTCCTGCAGCTTGTCATGGTATTAACATTAGCCCAAGTGTCTTTGCTTTACGAGCTATTTATTTTCATCCCTGTCCGGGACTTAGACGCGCGCGAGGGAATATTTTTCCAGACACGAGAAGCGAAACACGCTCCCTCCTCTTCCAGGTTTCCAGTGGCGCTCTGTGTAACGTGGAGCCACAATATCTTTATTGCTCGGCCAGTTTGTTTTCTCTTCAACCACTCGCGGTAAATTTTTATTTTTTTTAAACTTCACGTCTGCTTGTGTACATTTGGAATTCTTCCTGGCTATTACCTGGTAAACGGTGTAATCGGCTCGAGGAGCTGTAGTCAACTACCGGTGTTCTGTTTCAGTGGTGCCACACGGTGCAAGGGTTTATCCAGGTGGGAGGTATTTCATCCCACCCTCTCTCTCTCTCTTTTTTTTCCTGCATCAAAAAAATTCCAGGATGGGGGGTTGCACTTTGATGCTGTTTAAAGACGATTCTGGACATTTCATTTTCAGGAATTTTAAACGTGGGCATCAAGGTACACATATGATGTGCTGGCAGTTTGCTGTTTGAGTTGTTGTCCTTGTGATGTGTTGGTCGTGTGTTGCTAAGTGATAATGCTAAACACATCCACACATTGATAGACGTTAAAGAAAGCAGTTGAAGATCCCTCCTATTGCACCTGTTTATATTAATCTCCCCGCCCACTGTTGAGCGGGTGCTAGTCAACTCTGTATTGGCTTTAGGTTTCGGGGAACGTTGTTATTTTATCATCACTTAAGTATACGTTTTGTAAACATTAGCTGTACCAAATTGTTTATTTAAAGGTTTTGTGTTTTAAAAACATTGCTACAGATTTTTCGTTTGAATCCCAACCTACTTAGCTCTACGTCCACGGATGCCTGGTGAAATGATGAGGTGGGGGGGGGGGCTCTTCACACACAAAACTGCACCGTCATTTGTCTTAAGTCTCTTGTGTCACTACACAATGAAGTAAAACAAATGCATGTTTGTTAAACAAAACCCAACATCCGACTCCCCCTTCCTCGCATCGCCCTGGCCTGGTGATAGATACAAATTACAAATATATGACACCTTCGGCATTCCATACTCCTCTGGGCATAAAGAAGCCTTAGGTGTGTCAGCAAATGAATCCATCACTTGCCATCTAACCGAACTGTGTTGATTACACGGACTGCTGTTTAACGATAGGAAGATACAGCACTGTAGTGGCGCCCTCCTGCCCGTGTACACCCCTGCGGCTCCCCCTGCTGTTACACCACTACAACCCCCTCCCCCTGTGTTAACCATGTCTTTCATCGTTTGGCTCACAACGACTAGGATAAGTAGTCAGCGAGTTTGGTTTTTTTTTTAAACGGCAGTCTGTTTTATTTACCTGCTTAAACGTGTTGATTGTCTGTGTGTTAAAACGTCTTCTCAGATCAAACGTAAGTGGCAGCTGGAGGCAGGCTTAGGGTAGGTGGGTAGAAACAGCTGGGGGTAATCTGGTTGGGGATTATCAGATAAACAGGTTTGGGGTAGGTGGGTAGAAACAGCTGAAGGTAATCTGGTTGGGGATTATCAGATAAACAGGTTTAGGGTAGAGATGAACAGGTTTAAGGTAGGTGGGTAGAAACAGCTGTAGGTAATCAGGTTGGGGATTATCAGATAAACAGGTTTAGGGTAGGTGGGTAGAAACAGCTGTAGGTAATCTGGTTGGGGATTATCAGATAAACAGGTTTAGGGTAGGTGGATAGAAACAGATTAAGGTAATTGGATAAAAATAGTTTTAGGATTTCAAGGTAGAAAAAGCTTGAGATAATTAGATAAAAATCAGCTTAAGAAACAACCTTGTGTAATTTGGTTCACTGCTAAAGTGACATCTAAACGGCATTTAAGTATAATCCTCAAAGAATACTTTGAAACAACACACCTGGGGGGGGGGGTCCAGTGTTCCCTAGCTACACCCGACAACACCTGAGCCTGGAGGTGTCACCGTGACTTTCTATTTCCCAGTGTCCACCACCCCATTTTCCATGCTTATTTAAAAAAAAATTAGGCGACGTCCTGTTCGAAGGTTGCATACCACCCCCACCCCCAATATTACTAACCACAAGATTCCTGCATCAAATATGACTGGGTTATATATATATATGTAACGAGACTATTTGCCTGTAGTGCCAAATGTTAACGAGTTCTGCTCGACAACGCCAAATGTTACCGAGTCTAACCACTCATTCTACACAACATCGACCACAGTATAGATACTCGAAGATGCAGGTTCGCTATTGATCCTTTTATTACATGAATCAAAGAAATGCTTCACAATAATATAATGAATCAAAAGGAATGCTTCACAATAATAGTCTGAATCAACTGACCCCCAACAGTCCTCACTAGTCTTCACATAACTGAATGCACATGTCTATCGTCCTTCTTAACACAATACGGCTAACCCGTTCAATAACCAACTTGATACTGCCACTCTCCTACTCAACACGTCTCTACAGTTCGGCTTTCCCTTCTCAACTGTCGCCTTCCTATCTTATCTCCTTCGTATTCGTAATCGTATTCGGTTCTATCATAATCGTAATCGTAATCGATTCTAATCGTTGCATCAGAATGTTAATTACGCCGCTTCTGTCGTACAGTCCGATTTAATAAGCCATCTGCATCCTGTCACATCAAAGTTGACAGACCGTATTGCGTTCTTATCGTATCGCTTCCCAAGATACTACGCCTTGGCTTTCTGATCGTTATCAGCCAACACCTGTGTTATTGCATCAGTCGTGTCAAAGTTGACAGCGCTGTACTGCGTTCTTATGTCTCTGGTAACTTCCCCTAGTTACATATATATATATATATATATATATATATATATATATATATATATATATATATATATATATATATACAATCTTTTTTTATAGTCGATACTTAAGTACATGTATATGTATGTTGTTTTCTTGTGGCGTAACTTTATCATCTCACACCTAACCTGGGAATATAGGAACAGACTCGTACGTCACACTAGGCCTGTGGAATCAGGTCACGTGACTACTCCGTACACGTATAAGGCCGTGCGTTAGGTAGCTCATTTATCCTGACCTTTAGAGGCTGGCACCGAGTGCAAGTCCAACAATAACACTCATCTGTTGTAGATCTCTCGCCTCCCGCCTCGGCTTTGATTTTTACACAATCGGTGGATGACTTTTGTAGCGGAGATTCTTGTAAGAATTCTTTGACATTTAGCTAACAAGGGGGCATAAAAAAACGGGTTTTTAGCTAACGTCTTACCTCCCTTTCTTTTGTCAGAAGGCATCCAATCCCGTTCTTTTTCCCAGCTCTCCTCTCTTCTCTCTTCCATTATTTCTTCTTCCCAAACCCTCTTTCTTCGCATCTATTCCTCCCCCCCCCCCCCCCATTTTATCTTACCCCCTCCCTGCTAGATTCTCGTCTCTTCTAATCCACTTGATTTCTCCCTTCTCTTGCCACTTTCTTTAGTTCTCCCAACCCTCATATTTCGTCTTCTTTCCATCTCTTATTTTTCCTCATTCTAATCACTTCTTCTGGGCCTCTCTCTCCCCCCCCCCTCCAATCTCTTTGTACCTCCATTCCCTGTCAATGGCCTCCAATGTTAAAAGGTGACCGTTTATTTAACCTAGTATCTATAGAACCCACCTAGTATCTATAGAACCCAACTAGTATCTATAGAACCCAACTAGTATCTATAGAACCCACCTAGTATCTATAGAGCCCATCCTAGTATGTGTAGAGCCCACCTAGTATCTGTAGAGCCCACCTAGTATCTGTAGGGCCCACCTAGTATCTGTAGAGCCCACCTAGTATCTGTAGAGCCCACCTAGTATCTGTAGAGCCCACCTAGTATCTGTAGAGCCCACCTAGTATCTGTAGAGCCCACCTAGTATCTGTAGAGCCCACCTAGTATCTGTAGAGCCCACCTAGTATCTGTAGAGCCCACCTAGTATCTGTAGAGCCCACCTAGTATCTGTAGAGCCCACCTAGTATCTGTAGAGCCCACCTAATATCTGTAGAGCCCACCTAGTATCTGTAGGGCCCACCTAGTATCTGTAGGGCCCACCTAGTATGTGTAGAGCCCACCTAGTATCTGTAGAGCCCACCTAGTATCAGAGCCTCGCAATGCCACCATGAACGGATACAGAACTAATTTATCTCGAGGTTTCGCCGTGTATCAGTAGAGCCTCGCACTCACATCCGGATCAGCCACAGAACTAAGTTATCTCCAGAAACTACAAACATCAAGAGATTTTCTTCTCTAAACTAATCAAACACTTGTGAACTGCTGATTTACATCTTTTTTTTTTTACATCCATTTTAAACCTACATCAGTTTTACTTCCGTCTAATTTAAACCTACATAATTTCTTAAATTCATCATTTAAACTAAAACCCCATAAAACAAACCTACATCCATCACAATGCTAAACCTATATCCATTAAAGTTAAACCTTTACTTTACTGTTTATCATTTAATTCTCCCCTTTTATTTTTTTTATAAATTTACAAACCAAGTATAAACAAGTGCGTACTTGCATATTAATTAAATATCCTGCCATCTCACGAGCTTTAGCGAACGTTGTGCAAATAGTTAGGAAGCAAATTGCATCTTATCAAAAGATTTTATTCCAGCCTAAAAAGTCGGTTCATTTTTTTTAAAGAC